CGCAAGTATATTTATCGTATATATAATACAAATTATGGTGAGACATACCTCTTCTGTTGGTAACTGTTCTTTAAATTCTTCCATTTTAGCCTCTGTGTCATGAATGATATTCTCAGCCTGGTTAACAACTTCAACTTTTTCCTAAAACATACAAGTACGACAATTACAATTAAAGTTGCATATATTACAAACTATTGTGTCTGTGAATTGTATTAATATCGAAAATATATTTTAACATCTTTCAAAGAACTGAAAGGACTAACGTACTGTAGTTGCACAATAGGCCTGTTTTCCTGCCCATGTTATTAAATTATCAGCAATTGTCAGTTAAGTTTTTAAAGGTGTCATTAATGTTAAAATAATTAACTGCAGATCCTATATACATATAGGATCTGTGAATTAACAATAGATCTAAAATCATGTTGGTCCTCTGTAGATTTAACTTTTAACTCAGCTTCATGCGTGGTGAAATTTAATGCCTATGCGATGAAATATAAACCATATTTGAGATGTTACTCACCTTAATATTCATCTTATAGAAAGTTTATTGTATATTTCATCTAATATACCACAAATTAATTTGATAAAGCTAATAGATCAAATTTGTGATACATTTTAAGCCGAAAGGCTGGCCCCATTTAGGCTTAGGCATCAATCAGCCTATGAGGCTGTATTGAATAGGAACCACCTAGGCATCATTGAAAAATAAAATTTGTTGAACTGGATTTAACTTTAATATTAGATGTTACTAGTGAATGGAATAAAGTCAAAAGCAATCTTTCTTGTAAATCAATAGTTTTTCAGTTGATATTTCTAACAATCAGCGTCAAGTAACAACAGGAAAACAGGCTTAACTAGTAAAAAAAACTATTTAAAAAACTTCTTCAGCTGGAACAGAAAAACTGGATCATTACTCATTAGTCATTAATGCTCTAATAATGCTGGTATCTACTCAAATTTGTGCACCTTTTAAAAGCAGTAAACAGTAATGTATAATTACTTAGTCATTTCTTGAATGATAAATATTGAATTAATAACTGTAACTTTTAAATATAAATTTAAACACTCTTGAAGCAGGGAGTCATAGTGAGACCTTCATATCAATGCTCACCACCCTCTCCCCTTTTTGTATTTCTTGAATGAGGAGTTGCGAATGAGGAGTACCTGTTCGAAGACATCATACAGCTTGGGATCGACAGTGTAAAATGCATTCCTATGTTTACAAGCAAGTGGATGGAGCTCAAACGCAGATGCAGGGGAAAGGATAACTGCCACTGATACCTAATTGAAAGGTGGCATTTACATGAGTGAATGTTGTGCAGTTGTGAAACCTGTTAATGGATTTGTACATAAAAATTAGGTCAAATATTTATACATGTTAAATTAATCATTGATTAAAACACATGGCACCATTTTGAAGTCCTGGTATTGTTATTTCTGTTGGTATATAACACATCTGTTTTGCATTAGGCATTCTTCACAGGAACATTTTAAAATCCATTAAAATCTGCTGAAAACTCGCGTGGGATCACTGTAAAAACATCTGGCGCACAAAGTGTTAATGCACTTGCGAAAATTGGGTCAGATGTTTCGGAAGCCATTACCATTACGTCGTGGGTGTATTATGTGTATGTGAATTCAGGAAACCAGCAACCAAACGAGCAGCTGCATTTAAATAGGTGAAATGCATAATCAATTCATGAACACATTATCCTTACCTTCCTCTTTTTGTCCTCTTCAGCGTATTTCTCTGCATTCTTTACCATGTTTTCAATCTCATCCTTACTTAACCCACCAGATGATTGGATAACAACTGAGAATGAAAATATATATGTTTTAATTATTAAATATAATAAAGGGTTAAGTGGAGGGGTTTAAATGATTATAATGCATCTTGAGGATATTTCCCGTACGATTAAAATCGTAACGCTACTTACTTTTAAAGATATAAAAGATAAGATATATACTTTTAAAGAGCATAAAACAAAATCGTCTCTAGGCGCTAAGAAACCACAAATGCACACAATATTAAGGATTAAACACAAAACCAAAAGAAAGGGAATCAAGTTCAGATTTAAAATAAAGAGAAAAGATGAGATTTAAGGTGAGACTTGAAGACAGTCAAAGATGAAGATTCGCACATATTTTTGCAACTGGAAAAATAATGTGAGGTGATTTTTTTAACTACTAAATAATTTTTTTGCTCAGCAAAACTCCCAGGAAGGAGAAACCAATTACATAACTAGTTTAAGCATGTACGAAAACCGAAATATGGCATATACATTTGCCCATCAGTGAAATCAACATACATTAAAAACTAAACTATTAAACAAGTTCAAAACTAATATCTCAATGTTAACTCAGAGATCAAGATAATCATTTTGTAGTTAAGGGTCAAATGTCATGAAATAATGAATGTACCAATGCTAAATGTACATTGAAAGTATGTGCATATATTCAGATATTTTCAAACATATGTTTTGTAATGTGTTATTTTCCAAATTTGGAGAGCCCCTCAGACAGTAATTTATTTTACTTTTTGGTAATCCTGCCGGCTCTTGGGGGATACATGGATTACCTTTTGTATACCTACTGTATTGTTATGATAAAAAAAAAGGCGAAATAAATGAAAAATTAACTAATACGCATCCTACATTCACTTCTTTATCCGATACTGATAAGTTTATTTTCTTGATGTCTAATGGCGGCCGAATTTGCACACAGTATTCTAAATTCTCATATTTAAACAGCAGAAGAGTTAAGTTCGTTCTCTATTAATTTTTTTTTTTCTAGTATTGTCACAAATTATAATTTCAAACTTGTATATTTCTTTGTCACTCATTTAGTAAAGTATGAAATATTGCATACAATAATTTATACAAATATATTTATCACTTCTTTAATTACATCATGATGCCAATGGTAGAATATTTCTTACTCTGTTGTTCCTTTCCAGTCCCCTTATCTCGAGCCGATACATTGACGATTCCATTGGCGTCGATGTCAAAACTTACTTCAATCTGAGGAACCCCCCTTGGAGCTGGTGGGAGACCAACCTAAAGAAGAAAAACAAATTGTTACGGGTTATATTTTTATAATATATGAAAACAGGCAATTAATATTAGCATCTAAACATAGGATTACTTTATATTTTTCCACATTTCTGCATCACCACTTTATAAAAAATGTATGTACTGTACTGGTAATTATGATACACATAATATAGTATATCATTACTATAATCAAAGTGCCAAACAAAAACAAAAGAAAAGGAATAAATATCATTAATTTAAATAATAGATAGCAGCATATTCTATTTTTACGATCTTTACAAGACACAGTAAAGCGCCCTCTAGCTACACCAAGTAACAAAATTATAATCCCAGCTGGCAGCGACAGTGTAAACAAAATTTATTTATTTTGACAAGCTGATGGTTGCCAATACATTGTGACATACCAATTGAAATTGACCAAGGAGCTTGTTGTCTGCTGCCATCTCACGCTCGCCCTGGTGCACTTTGATTTCTACTTGTGTCTGCCCATCAGCTGCTGTGGAGAACACCTACAAAACAAACAAGGATGTGTACTTTCAAATCATGATAGCTTGCTGGTAACTTCTCATGACTAAACCTTTTTAAATACATTAAACAACAAGAAATAGCCAGGCCACAGCAAAATCAATTTATATTACAGTAATAATATATAATTAATTTTCATTTAATTAATAGTACCTGCGACTTCTTTGTTGGGATAGTTGTGTTTCTGTTGATCAGCTTTGTAAAAACGCCACCTAGAGTTTCGATTCCTAGAGACAGAGGAGTCACGTCCAACAACAGCACATCAGTGACATCACCGGCAAGCACTCCACCTTGGATTGCAGCGCCCATAGCAACGGCTTCATCTGGGTTTACAGACTTGCTTGGTTGACGACCAAATACCTGTTGCACTGTTTCTTGCACCTATGTAATTTGAAAATTCCATCTCTGATGTAAAGGGTTGAAAATAGTTTGGCCAATAAATTATATAAAATTAAGATGATTACTTGTGTGACAGATAAGTTATTTCTGGTTGAATTAGGGAACTTAGAAAGCAGACAAACAAGTAGAGCTAAATAGCTTGCCTTTTAATCCCAAGGTCCTGGGTTCAATCCCAGTGTCCTGCATTCAATGCCAGGGTCCTGGGTTCAAACCCTGACCATGATTTTTTCTTGCAACTAAAAACACATAGACTACTAGATGTTGGATATGAAAACAATAATTTTTTGTCTAATTTACAGACTTCTTTTATATTGATTACTAGCCAATTAAAGGGGCTATGCACAAAAACAAAACACACACACACAAAAAAATTAATTATCCACTGTTAAATTGACAAGGAAATATTAATTGTTAATTGAAACTAATAACCTAGTTGATTTAGCTTAAATATATCTTTAAAGAGCAGGGCAGAGCTTATTTTCATCCTAGAAATGACGAGCCACACTCACTGTTAAGAATGGAATTTAAATAAACAAATACCTTTGGCATACGCGTCATGCCACCGACCAATAGCACTTCTTTGATATCCGCACGAGACACTTCTGCATCCTGCATTGCTTTTTTGCATGGTTCAACTGTCCTTTTGATGAGGCCGTCGACAAGCGATTCCACTTTCGCCCTGGACAGCTTCAGATTCATATGCTTGGGGCCGGTGGCATCCATTGTCAGGTACGGCAGATTCACATCTGTTTGGAGTGCGGAAGATAACTCGATCTTCGCTTTCTCGGCAGCTTCCCTCAGTCGCTGCAGTGCCATATTATCCTTAGTAATATCAATCCCTTGCTGCAAATTAAAAAAACACAACTCAAATATATATAAAGCCACAGAAAAACAGATTGATGTTAACAATTGAAAATATTTTCCTGTATATTATTAATATGACTAACAATGACTATGCAGAAAATCTCTGTAAAAAGGAGTTCAACATACGTCTCTTTTGAATTCTGAAACCAAGAAGTTAAGAAGCGTGTTGTCAAAGTCTTCTCCTCCGAGTGATGTGTCACCATTCGTTGACTTGACCTCAAATACACCCTTCTGGATTTCCAGGATTGAAATATCAAAGGTACCACCACCGAGGTCATAAACAGCAATACTAAATTTATTTAAAGTAAAAGTAATTAAAGTAGGTCATTACATTCAAATTATTTTAAAAAGGAAATGTTGACTTTACATGAGGTGATATTTGCCTATGTTTCACAATATCTGAATATTTTGATAGTAAATATTTCTGACACAAAAAAAAATAATGGAATTGGTGCAAGAAAAAAAAATTGAATTATATTACAGAAATATTACACTATCAATTGTTTTGTATTTCAAGAGTGTCTTCCACAATAAACATCATCATAAGAATAGAACACATCAACAAAATAAATTATAATTTATACTAATTCAAAATTAATATTAAAAGAGAAGAAACACAATCAAGACATCCTAACAATGCTCCATCGAAATTTCTTTAAGGCTTACTAGCTATTGACTAGCAGATAACTAAATGGTGATGGTGATTAAACAAATTCATCATTATTAATCATTCCTTGAAAAATGTTGATTGTTACTTGTTGCTTTTTACGATTCTGTAAATTTTGTATGCATGTAATTTTTTGCCAGATAATTTTATGCAGTAATATCTTTTTGCAATTTTACTTACATTTTGTCGTCAGCCTTGTCTAAACCATATGCAAGAGCTGCTGCTGTTGGTTCATTTATAACACGCAACACATTTAATCCTGCAATCTGACCTGCATCTTTTGTTGCCTGCAATGGTACACATTTTTGAAAAGATACAATTATAAATTTTGGCGAGTTTGAAATATATATCAATATAACAAGATTTAAAAAAAACTAGGATTAGTGATATTATAAAAGAGCACAAAAGCAGATTCTACAGGCTGTGGCACATTAATTTACAATCTACATTTAGAATTAAATTATTGGTCTGCTTCCTTCCAGGTCACTCACTCTGTTTTTAACTGTCATTTAAAAAAACAAAACAAGGCAGACACTTAAAAAAAGTTGGATTAATACTATAAGTTTGGAAATAACTGTCAATCCATGGTCAGAAATAGTCTTGTATTTAAACCTTCCACATTAAATTACAATTATTTAATGAAGTTCTAGAACCGTGATTCACATGTGCAACAAGCTGACAAAATTCTGATCTCTGATCGTAACAATAGTGCAGATAGAGGGTGCTTTTGATTACGTTGCCAAGTAGGGAGGATTCGTTTATGACACTTAAAGAAAGTTGGATTACAATACGTTTGGAAATAACTGTCATCCTTGGTCAGAAACAGTCTTGTATTTAAACCTTCCACAATAAGAAATGCCTGTGCTAAAAATATATTTAATGGCATAACAATAATATAATTATTTTTCTTTAATCATAGGTAGCAAGTTCATAAAATAGTAATGTAGATCTTTTTTATCGATGAACTAGGGAGTTAATTTACCTGTCTCTGTGAGTCATTGAAATAGGCTGGCACTGTGATGACTGCATTTTTGACTGGTTGTCCCAAGTAACTTTCTGCAGTTTCTTTCATTTTGACCAGTACAAAAGCTCCAACTTGACTCGGTGAATACATTTTACCATGTGCTGATAACCAGGCATCACCATTGCTGGCTTTGACTATGTCATATGCTACTGATTTCCTGTAGGATGAAACAAAAAATTTATTTTGCTGTTAAAGACTTAAAGTAGTGAAAAATGAAACAGCTTTTTTAACAATAATTTTTAATAAATAATGTAACAAATATAGAACATATAAACAAGGTACTCATTGTAAACTTAATAACCAAGACAAAAGTAATTTGATTTAACATAGACGTTTCCATTTGACGATAATCTGTTAAAATCTAGAAACTCTTTTGTCTGAAAGTTGTTTTTCTTAATCTTAGTGCCTGTGTTAACACTGTTGATTGTCATAATGTATTGGTTTTTATGTCTATTATAATTGTACTTTTTATAGGAATTTTCAATGAGTTTAATATTACATGCTTATGCCCGGGAATCATATCTAGTTCTTCATTATGTGCAGTGGATTTGCACTCAATGTTTTGCTTGTGTGTTTTTTAAGGCATTTCTTTTAATTTCAATTTCATGTGCTTGAGTAGAATTTAATAAAATAAAGAAAAGCATCAATTTTGAAATAATTGAATTTTACAACATTAATAGACCTGCACTTACATATCTTTTTGCGTTGCTGGATCTTCGAATCGTCTACCTATTAACCTCTTTGTAGCGTACAGTGTGTTTTTTGAATTTGTTACTGCTTGGCGTTTAGCAGGCATTCCTACAAGTCTCTCGCCTTCTGGTGTAAATGCCACCACTGAGGGCGTTGTTCGTGCGCCTTCTGCATTTTCAAGAACTTTGGCTGCTTTTCCTTCCATTAAGGCCACACAGGAATTTGTTGTACCAAGGTCGATTCCAACAACGGCTCCTCGTACTCCTCCTTCTGACGAGTAACACCGCTGGTGATGTATTTGTTGATTGGATAAGCTCCATGATCCCTAGATGGAAAAGAAAATTATAAAAATTATAAAATTTTGTAACTCATGACGAGCAATATTATAAATATGTGGCATTGAAATATGTAATTTAATATTCAAAATATTGTGCTATAGTTTCATCAAATTTTAATGATTTTCAGTACAGTACTACTAGGCTTAATCATGGAAAATTCATATAATTAGTTTGTTCGATTGTATGTGTTACAGAACAGGCCCTCACACTGAAAACACACAGGGTCCGACAGGAGCACACATACAAGACCTCACCTGAGATCTCCCGTCTTTACTGATTCTACATCATATATAGGCCGAGGCCTAAATTAAGAATGGCAAAACCTAGTTAGTTGTAATCACCAGGCGGCGGCAATTAACCTACTTATAATTAAGTTGTCTTGTCTAGTAAGCCTATGCCCTTACCTACGCCTACACACCACTACCACGAGACTAGCCAGGCTATATGCTGCTATCCTCACCGCACCTACAAGCCTACAAACCTAGGCCTAGTCCTCTCACACCCTCAGCCAGTATTGGCCGAGTAGTAGGCCTAAGCTAGGCTAGGCCTAGCCTAGGCTCTAGGACCGAACTAAATCCATGAAGACTCACCAATTTTAACCCTTCTGATAAACTTCGACCTTGTGACAGATTTCTGAAGCAGGTTGATTTACTTTTTAAATGATATGACGATAATCTAGCGGCGGTAAGCATTTTGTTTCTAATATATTTTGTTTTTCTATAAATTACAATTATTTAATGAGGTTCCACAACCTTGATTCACATGTGCAACACGCTGATGAAATTCTGATCTTCGTCGAAGCGTAATGATAGTGCACATAGAGGGCCCTTTTGATTACGTTGCCAAGTAGGAGGGAGGATTCGTTTATGAAATATCACAAAAAACTTCATTAAATTACCATTACAAACAAGTGGCAGTAATATCATAAACACATAATATTACAAATATATTTTCTTATACTTGTTTAAGCAATATGAGTTATTCATAAAATATAAACCGTGTGAGTTTTTACCTGATAAATTTATTATTTTGTTTCTTGTATTTTGATAATTAACTATCTGGCAACTACGGAACGTTCTGGTAAATTTAAAGGACCTGGAACAAACAAAGAATACAGCATGATGCAACGTGAAAGAGTGATTGCTTTAATCGGTATACTTCTATGGAGATTAGTAGTAAATGATCTATAAATTGTTTTTAATTTGATAGGCGATACGATATCCCCTTTTTATTCAGTTATTTGTGATTTGTATTTGTACATACTGATTGATCAATTTTGTTGTTTTTGAATTTTGGCAGTTTTGTTTTTTTTTTTATTTATCACTTGATGTATTTAGTATATATATATATATTCTGTTATGAGCTAAACAAAAATCAATACCATATTCAAAGTGCTTCATTTATATTGATATGTAATTATTAAACTACAAACTTTGAATGAACTTGTCCCGTCAAGTACCTGACTAATACCTGTCCTGTTCTTTTATATAGACCCGTTTAATTGGCTGGTAGTAAATGAAGGACTTTTGTAGTACAAACAGTGTCTGTAAATGAGCAAGTTTATCGATTTTTCGGCAGGCTAATGTCGATCGGAAAATGCTATGGTACCGTATGTTAAAAAAGTCAAATCATTTGATTAAATACGTCACAGAATATTAAACAAATAATAATATGTTGATATTGTTTAAAAAATATCAGAAACGAATATGATAGAAATTATTAAAAAGTACCCCCTAGTCCCACGTATATATAGAAAAACTTATTGTCAAGGTTGGTCCCATAAATATGAGTCAAGTGAAAATGCGCGCTACTAAGGTTCTGCACCATTCACCTCATTACTCCTCCCAAAAAACAGAGTTTAAATGACTTACAGTCGTTTTATTAAATCCATTTTATCCGAAATTTAAAGGTATATGAAAATTAATATAGGAATGGTACTTTTAAACATTAATTGGCAAGACATTTTTTCCCCGATTCTATTTTTAGTTAAAAAAGACAAATTTAAACAATATAATTTCTTCTTTTTTTTAATTTAAAGTTTATATTAGATACTTAAAGGCCATTTCAACTTTGATTATGCATAAGTTAATATCAATGGTGAATACAGTCAACACTGACTTCCATGAGACAATTGATAATAAAGCTGCGAGAAAAACATGCAAATGGTTCAATTTCCGGGAGATTCTTGGTTGCTAGCACGAGTGCAGGAGGCCGTTTTATCTTGCGGAAGACTTGTGACGCCTTACCCCACCCCCCACATACCGACACTCTCCCTCTTACATCAAAATCCATTAACGATTCTACTTCATAATCCAGCCATGACTTACAACAATGAAGGAAAACAATTCATATTTATAATATCGATCCAATTTATTATAATATAATACATTGATAATAATATTGCTCTAGTGAGATAAGGTTAGGGAACAAGTTTGGTACTGATTATCAGAGAAATTTACTTCTACAATGTGGTATTAATCTATTATGAAATAAGGAATTGTATTTTAATACAATAAAGTTTCAAGTGGAATACATGTAAAATATTAAGCAATCTATTAAAATAATCAATACCCTATATGTATATAACAATTAGATAAATGATAATAACAGCGCTCGAATAGTAACAAAATGTTATAATTGTATCAAGCATAGAGCTTCAATGTAAAGTTCCTTAATTCAGCTGTATGAAAATAACGGTCTCTGGCAGCATTCAAACCTGCAACCTCTCACTATTAACAAAAAGGTCCACTGATTAATCTCAGATAAAATCCAGGATTCAAGATGATGACATAATTAATGTCGAAATATTGAATCCCGACACGATGGCGTGCATTTCGATACTTAGAGTATGCATTTTACTATCTTCTCACTATTAAGACGAATATCATACCCAATAGAGACTATGGTATATGCACAGATCTAACCCCCAGGAAGTTTCTCTCATACAAATGACTGAAATGCTCAAACATTGTGGAGTTATGTTTGAGCTAGAAAAAGGTTATATGTCAAAACTTGGAAATAATACTTTTCATTGAAGTGCTATGCTTGATATAATTAAAACATCTTGTTCCTATTACAGTAATTAGGCACTTTCATCATTATTTATTTATTTGCTTATATTGTGTTTATGGTGCTACACAGCAAACTTATTAACAATGTTATGATTAAATAGTGTGAGAGTTGTATCAGATATTTCAGAAGGATCATAATCACCACTAGAGCATATGGAAACAAAAATAACTTTCTTTCATTAAGTTTATTTTTGAATAACACAATTTTCATTGTCTGAAAATAGAGAAGCAACATCACAATCCGAGGTGAAGATGATACCAATTATCAAATTAAAAAGTAAGTAATGTTGACTGCCTGGTACATGTAGAGTATGGTGGTAGAATCTTGGGATTAAGTATCCATCATTTATTTGTCTAATTCAATAATTTTTTTCAAAATTCTGTAATCATTCAATCTAATTAAAGACCCATTCTCTTGAATTCCTGCAAACAAAAATAAAAAAAAACATTAGAAACTACACTCAATTTTTCAAATATAAGCACTGTAAAAGCATTTCATTGCCCCTAGTTGAGTAGCTTATAACCTTTTTTACACTGCCCAGATGAGAATAAACTTTTCCATTTACATTGAACAAAAAAGTCTGGGTTGATACCAAGTTGCAAACATTTTACACCCGCAAGGAATGCAAATTCAAATACCGCCCTCAATTTCTGTTGCGATGGTGACCATAACTTCGCTCGAGTTGCTCCCGTCGTGATGGAGCCCAATTATTGTCAATTATTTTAAGCAATATTATTATTGGCAGATTTTTTTTAAATATGCAAATTAAATCAGCAATTTTGTAGTTAAGTCTATACGGAAGCGCATGAGGTTTAATTTGAAAAGTGTTGGCGTAGCCCGATGCCAACAAAGGCCTACCTCACCGCAGCAGGTAAAGCCTATAGCCGGGAAATCGAATTATAGGATTTGTAACACTGGTGACTCCAGTGTGTACAAGGGCTGTCCAACGCTGAATGCGTCCCGCACAACCGTCGCGAAATGTTTGGCAACCCGAGTCAGACTTTTTGATGTTAACACTAACCACAACTCGATAGTTTCTAGCACAGGTATTGGAAAATCCCGGTTGTGTTCGGAGTTTTGCAGTGCAAAAGGGTATAAGAAATTGAATTGTGCCCTAGGGGCTTGGTGAAGCCCTGGTGGTGAAAAGAATTGGGCAATATATTGATAGACACCCTTCTGTATTTGTTGCATAGAACAGTGCTGTACTGTGCTTGTTACATTGTGACTACTGTATTTATATCAAAGGTCTAAAACATTTAGTTTAACATGAAGTTCACTTTGCCTAACTCACATAATTTCTAAGTCGAACTTATTTTACATGCCAAATTCTTGCGTTTTCCATTAATTTACAATCTATAAGTCGAATTATATTTAAGTCAAAGAATTTTTCAATGGAATTTTGGATTTGACTTAAGGCAAGTTCAACTGTATAATCTGTCACATACATTATGCTAATTTCAGTTATGCAAATGTCTTTATGCAAATTAAATAATTATAAGTTGCAGTGTATATTGTAGAAGGAAGTGAATATTAATTGTTTTCACCAAGAGGTTCAGCAAATTTAGTTTTTTTTTCTTACACTGAAATTCCAGCTGGAAAGATCACCCTCTATAAAGATTTTTGAAAGAAATGAAGTATAAAAATAGCAGGACACTATACCTCTACTAACGTTGATCCCATTTGGGCTGGAGACATGGTGACAGCAACACCCGCTGACTTCAAGGCTTCAATCTTAGCCTCTGCACCCCCTTTACCCCCTGAGATTATAGCTCCTGCATGCCCCATTCTCCTGCCAGGTGGGGCTGTCAAACCAGCAATAAAAGATACAACTGGTTTGCGGTTTTCTCCCTAAGAGAATAACAGAAGAAAAAAGAATGTAGCACAGTGGGTGTAACAATCTAAAACTTTCCATCTGACAATCAATGCATACTCTGTAAATTGTGAATTTGTATGAATGTATCAAGTGTAAAATAATTAAACCAAAAAATGGTTAAGTACCATGTTGTTAGCCCTCAAGAAATCTGCAGCCTTTTCCTCGGCGCCCCCTCCAATCTCCCCAATAAGGACAATGCCTTCTGTTTCAGGATCTTTTAAAAAGACATCAAGACAATCCACAAAGTTGGTACCATTGAATGGATCTCCTCCAATACCTGTAGATAACAATTTGGTATCAACTGATAAAAAAAAATGTTTTATTTACTGCTTCTTGTTTGCTCTAGTAGCCATTTTATACAGGCTGAGACTCAGTATGTGGGTAAAATTAAATTACGAAAAAAAGGCTTAGTATTTTTTAAAATATGAATTTGACAGTTATTTTGTTTTTATTGAACTCAATTGTGTTTAGCATATTGTTGTTATGTAATGTTTTGAAAAGATTCCAAATCAAGTTCAATCATTCACTGCTGATCACGAATTTGAAGATATTAGGGGGTGGGGAGTAAGACATTTTGGAGTTTGCAGTTTGGAAATATGTCAGCTCTTGTGTCCACACGGTCCCCAACCTCTTAATAAAAACGCAATGGAACCTCGACGATAGAAGATGCATGAGAGTTGACTTACCAACGCACAGAGATTGGCCTAGTCCAACAGCAGTAGTCTGGGCAACTGCTTCGTAGGTCAGTGTCCCCGATCGTGACACAATCCCAATATTACCAGGCTTGTGGATATGACCTGGCATAATTCCTATTTTGCAGGCACCGGGCTTAAATTGAAAAAATGAAGTGTTTAATATGGCTTATAAATACGGTATTTAAATAGTATTGGACAGGGCCTAATCACACCTAGAAAGAAGAAACCAACTGGACTCGATTGGAGCTAAAGCCAGGCTTTGGAGAGCCACATGACAATAGCACTGTTGTGTACTTTTGGTCATCCTGTGTTGGCAGCACTGTTTTTATCGCTCTTGTTATTTTGATGTATGTATTTTTCGTACGAATTAAGGCATTAAAGGGGTGTTTAAAGATATAGTATACGCGACATATTCCCACAAAACCCGGACAGAGTCAACATTTGGAGAAAAGTATAATATATTGTATTATTTTTATACATTATGACAGAATTTTAACATCTGAAAAAGTTGTAATTTTGTTAAATTTTTATAACATATCCATTATGTCTAGGTTCTGGACAGTTGGGCAGTATTAGCCTGGTTTTTGCTCCACATAAGCAAGCTTACCTTAATCACACCTGGACAGTTGGGTCCTACCAGCCTGGACTTGCCTTGCCTTACAAGCTGGTGTTTCACCTTCACCATGTCCAGCTGTGGGATACCTTCAGTTATACACACAATTAAGCCCATTTCTGCATCCAATGCTTCGATGATAGCTTCAGCAGCAAAAGGTGGAGGAACATATATAACAGTTGCATCTGCTCCAGTGGCTTCTTTTGCCTAAGAATAGGTAAAAAATATATTATCTCTTTCATTCTGTTTATTATATATTTCATTGATGTGTTTTACACTGCAATGGGTCTAACTAAAAGGTGCATACCATTACACAACACTGCATACTACAAATTACCATCACAAATCTTTTTATTACGTGGACTCTCTTTTCAACTATCTGCATTAAGGCTATAGTTTTGAGGTTTTAAGTCATATAAACAAGTTCTCGTAATCTTGAAAACTCTAAAGAGGGCAGTATGATAGAGGCAGTAGAGCTAAAAAAGATTTATTAATCAATCCAACTAATAATCAGTCAGCTGAGTGTTTCTAGAGCTCCCCATGAGGGCAGTATATTAGAGGCAGTAGAGGTAAAACAGATCTATTTATCAATCAGCCAAGTGTTTTTAGAGCTCCTCATCGGAGCTAAAAATGTTTCTTCTGTAATGGTGGCAAATAGCAGCAATAGTAGCCACAACTAGAGGTAGGTGCAAATTATGCAGTGGTGCATTGGACTCCTTTGTTTTACTTCTTAAATATACAATTTCGAAATATGACAACATTATCGCATGAAAAGCAAATGACTTTTGTGAAACCAAAAATTAAGCATAAGAAAGCAGCATAAATGATATTTGCAAAACAGTAATTTCCAAGTAAATCTATGATATTCTTAGGTATCTAGGCATAATCATTTAAGTTTTTTATCCTTTTCCTGCTAGGTTTATGAAAAAGATTTAAATAAAAATCAGCCAACACTATAAAAAGTATGTACAATCATTCTTTCACCTCTTTCACAGTATTGAAAACTGGTAATCCTAAAGCTGTCTGGCCCCCTTTACCAGGTTTCACGCCTCCTACCATGTTTGTACCATATTCTATAGCTTGCTGAGTGTGAAATCCACCCTGAAAAAAAAAAAACAAACATTTGGATTGGGTTTCTTTGGTGTGAAATATAACAAGGATATTATGCAGAAGTCTGAGAAAATATAAAAACAAGAAGTAATACATAGTACAGTATGATTAAAACAAAAGAAATGATGAGTAAAATATTTTAGTTATATAACTTATATGTTTGCTGAAAGTTTGTCAGACATTTGTTTTGGCTTCCAAATGTGTGTAGTATTGTGGAGTTTAAAACGAACCTGCCTTCCTGTGATACCTTGACATATGACCTTTGTATCTTTAGTTAAAGCTAAGTTCACTCTACTATCAGTATAACATGTTCTCGCTCCGATGAGCCGTCGAGCTGCAAATATCAAAGAAAACAGAATTGTGATTTATATGCATTGGATTATTTGGCATCACATAATATAAATAACAATTGATTTTCAAAATTGCAAAAAGCAATTAAATTACTTATTATTAAATATTTCACAAATTTACTTCTCATTTTTTAACATATATTGAACATAATATAAAAGTAGATATTCAGAATATATAGTAAAAATATGGTTGTTGCAGAAGGCTACAGGTATGCCTTTTTAAAGCACAATGCCACTTTATCTCATCTTAAAACACAAAACATATCTAAAAAAAAAAAAGAATCCTCAATGCACTTTTTATAATAAAATAAAATGGGCAATGACAACAGATGACTCATATGACAGGTTGCTTAGCATACAGTAAAACAAACATATTTATGATGTCCCTTGAAAATAACCTAGAAAAGTGGGGGGAAGTCATTGATGATTGTGAAAAGTAGAAAAAGAGTAGAAAATCAGTTTTGCTTGCATTTAAGAATGGCAGTTCAAACTGAGGAAAGAATGCAATGTAGATTTTGATTTTAATAAACCTGATCTGGTGAATTAAAAATCCCCAATTGATTGATGTGTGCTAGCTTCATGAAAATATAAGTTTAAGAAATTTTATTATTAGCATTTCATTAACAATTAAAACTTTGTCAGGGTTTGCCTTATTTGTATGTCCTTCACCTTCATTTGTAATATATTTTTGTTTTTATGATGGAAAATAAAAGATTGATTAATTTTACTTTTTGTATAGGCCTAGGCCTTGCCTAGTCCTAGGCCCACTACTACTGTACACTACAGATGACAAGAGCAATGTCCTTACTGACTTTTGTTGAAGTCGTTCTTAAATATTATTTACACTCATTCAGTTAATAGCAAAGCGTCGAATTAAACTTCAGCGTAAGTGGCTTAGTCTCTACACTACCACCTGGGCTGGGCCACCTGCCTGGATACCTATTATACAGCGGCAGCACAGTCCGTTGCATGGGGTCGGGAAGAGAGAGAAAGAGAGCAACACGGTAGCTCAAGCTAGCCAGAAGAGAGAATGGAAAGACCGGTCAGAAAAAAACCAGTGCTCAACTAATTGATATTAAACAGCTAGACAACTGAATTTATACCAGGTTGGGTTCAAAATAAAACATTTACTTTAGATATTGAACAAACAACTGTTATTCCACAAGTTTTTGATCAAAATTACCTATGGTCTTTGAGAGAATTCTTGTGGAGGCAGCCATCTTTAACTTTTGCACTTTTAAAGAACGCCCTCAACGAAAACAAAACCGAAACTTGAAAAGAAGCTGATTAAAAACGCGTCTTTCACTAACGCGTCAGAATTGCAAGGACAGGCCTAAATATCAAGTTATATGAAGAAACATAAGGGGAATTTAATGAAAGCATACCAGTCTCCTCTAAACAAAACTTGAAAATTGGAATGTATGAGAGTGGGAAAAGTGAATGATGATAAAACTCAAACAACAAAATTTACCGTACAATCTGAGACGAAACATTCGTGGCACTCAACAGCGAAAACGGCGTTGGATGAACTAAATGATGAGAAAAAGCAGCAAAGTTGAGGAGAGGGATGGACAGAAATAGCCATATAAAAATGAAAATAAATACAAAAACAATGATAAATTTATAATAGGCTTATACAACAATAATATAATTATAATGGTGATAAATAACGGTTTTTAAATTTTATTTTTCAATATTTTTAATTTATTCAACTTTACTTACCGAGGGTGTCCAAAAACAGCGGTATGCTGAGTGATGATCATGGAGTAGTCACATTAAAATATTACTTACAGTTCATCAAATTACAACAGTTATACAGAAATTAATAAAAGATAACACACTAAAAAAATATTATATAAGTACTGTATTATCATTATAATCACTCATCATCGTTTTATTATTTTCATCATCCGACTGCGTATTATATGTATTTTTTATCGCTCACTTATCTTGGCCGCCACCATGTCTTCATCATCGTCATCTTCATACTGTATTACTATGACCATAACATTTTTTTTTTAAAGAGATAATGGATGGCGGTATACCAGGCCTGCATGCTGCATGATAAGATCATCCATGCAAAGTTGAGCGCGACAGCCAGTCAACGCGTTCTTGCCAAACCGAACGGAGCGTGATATGTGAATACTGTACGTATACCATGGTGAATACAGACTTGAGCTTCCGGAAAAAGTACTCTCGCGTCAAAAATCGAAACTTGACCGTTAGAAGTACACACCTCAAAGTTCTGTCCTAAAGTTTAATTTCTTCTGCTAGGAGAGTAAAATTGAAGCATTGTAATAACCACTAAATAATATGGCAGGAGCTGGTGCAGAGAAAAATTTAGCCGAGGAAATGGAGAATGCATTTAAGGTGAAAAAAGACAGTAAGACTAGGCCTAGGCTAGGTCTACCTAACTAGCCTAAAAAAAAGGCAGGGCCTAGGCCCTATGCTGACTTATTAGCCTAGGCTGGACCAACAATTTGCTAGCAATGATAAAGACCTAGGCCTAGCCATGAGACCGTAGTGGACGGCGAGTGATGGTGTCGAAACGGACGTGTTCGAGACCTTCCAATGCTGTACTCGACGGCTTTGTTTCCTATTTATTATTTACCACGTACTTTTTGGCTTTGATATAATCAACAGTGGCATGGCTTATCTAGAAGTCTTGAAATGGGGGTGCTGATGGGAAGGGTGGACGCGAAGGTGAAGTGGGGGACCTTGATGATCAGTTAAGGGGCGTTATTAATTCGCGCAAGCCTTTCACAGTCTGATATATACACACACTGTGTGGCCACTGCTGATCCCCAGGGTCCTAACCTAAATATTGTAATCCAAATTTCCTTGTTGACTCCCAACAAAGGATCATCACATCAGCTTTAGGGATAGGCCAAGCTAGGGATAGTATAGTTGCTGTAATCTGTTAATATAGTATTAAATACAATTTTGTTTTACTTTCTGACTAAAGGGTTGTTTATCTAACCTCGTTGGTCAAGAACATTTCAACATTGTTGATAACATGGAAGTTAAAACAGGTAAGTATTGTATGTAGTGCTATGATTGTCCTGTTCATACAACCTTTCTCCTGCCCAATCTACAGTTTACTTACAATATATGTTCTGTAATTAGTAAGTGATTTCAGATAAATATGAATTTTCTCAATACGTTTTTGGCATTGCTATGCTATACATGGCTACCAGTGTATAAAGAAGCAATACAGTAATTCCAAGTTGGAAGAAGCCAATTTGACTTGTCTGCACATGGTGATACCTATCGCCTGCTGATTTCAGGGAAATATATATAAATTTATTAAAAACATCCAGATACCATAAATTGCGGAAGATTGGTTATTTTCCTGAAAATGAATGTGTAGACGTGCAATTTATATTTAATTTTTTGACTGTAGCTGTAAAATTGTAATTTATTGTTGTTTTAGTATTGCAGTATATTCAGAATGCTATTTTATTGCATGGTAACTTTTTTTTTTATTACACCAAGGTGTTGAACAAGCTGTAAACAAATTTTTAGAAGTTGCCAAGGAGACAGAAACATACTTCCTTCAGAAACGTTTGTTGCTTTCAAATAGCCACCCAAACCAATTAGTAAGAGAGGTTAGTAAATTAATTTTGAGACAACACTATCAATTAACATATACAGTATTATCTAAGGGTAACGATAGCAAATTGCACAAACTGCAGAGATATGGTATGAAAAAACTGATTACACAAAATGAATGAAGCTTCGCACAAAGCACAATCAGTAATTTGGAAATATATTTTTTTCTCTAGGAATGTGAGGAGTTGCAGAACGAGCTAAGGCGCAAAGATTTGCTAATACAGAAACAGATGAGAAGGCTGCAGGACTGGCAAAGAGTCTTCCAGTCTTCTGAGGCGAACGCTCCTCCCCCTCCACCACCCCAACAACAGATGCAACAGCAAATGTCACAGATACCCAGAGCGCAGTTCATGGCCAACCCTAGCCATGGCAACTTCCAAAACCAAGCACATCAAAGCCCATTAGCACATCTAGCCCAGGCTGCTTCAAATATAGGAGGTGGGTTTGAGAGGTGATGTTGCTAGGACAACAGCTGAAACATGGATTGTTTTGTACAGAAACCAATCTCTGGCAAATGATAAAAGTAGAGGACAATGGACTGTTTCGCTAAGCTCTGCCCCTTGGATATTGTTGCCAAATTCCCATGCTACAACAACCTAAACCACAGGTGGGCAAAATGCGGCTAGACAGCTATTTTTGTGCGGCTAGGCATTGGCTAGAAAACACCTTGTGTTTTACGGCCCGACACCGATCATATGTAAAAAATAACATTAAAGCTGAAAATAAAGTGGTGTAAAAGCAGTGCCTGGAGATTTTTCGAAGCACACTGGAAACATCAAAGTTTGGGTGCGGCCCTTGGTGTTAATTAAAAATTCGCTTCGGCCCTCCGACCGATTTTTATGCCCATCCCTGGCCTAAACTAATAAACATTTGCATTTGTGGGACAAGCACATATTCTGGTGATGATCTGATTGGTTAATGTAGTTGTTACATTTGATTGACATTCCATCCATTCTAACCATTGAAGTTCCTATGCATTGAATGTGTGTCAACCGCATTATTCATGCCATTTTCTAATGCACTACTGTACAGTATACAAACATAAGGTTTTTTTAATTTAAAAAACAAACCTGTATACTATTTTCATTTGTTCTTGAAATAATAATTACTGTATGTTATTTCTTTCTTTATTGATTTTTACATGCCCATCAGTGATATTCAAAAACTGATTCACGACCAGATTTACAATTAGACGCTTAAATATTGTCATAAAATCTTTCTATAATGCTTAAGGAAGCTCCGGTCTATGTACTTGGTGACACCTTACAAGTGTTCATATAAATTGCATACACCTTTCTTTTACTGGGTAAGCTGGAAAGAACAATTCAACCTCTTCCATTTCTCCAGATGATGTTTTGTATAGTATACCTCTTGCACCACAATCTGTTGCATTCTCTCGGAAAATCCTAGGGTGGGTAAAAATGTCTGAATTATGTTGCTTTCATTGGACAAAATTTTATATTTTGCATTTTCTCAAGATAGGCCTGCCTTTGAACATAATCAGTGTTACTTGAACAGGAAGTGAACCCATGCTGTAAAAATATTGTTTGGAATCATTTAATGTACTATTTTCAAATACTGTCATGCATAGAATGTCATCTATGAATATTGGATGCACTGTTGTTCACAGTACAACATGGAGAAAAAAATAAAGTACTCAAAAATTGTACACATTTTGTGTTTAATGACTAATAATTACAGAGTTAAAGCATTGTCTCTTTCACAGGCACCATCCTCCACTCATATGTTAGTATCAGCAACTACCTTTGCATAATTATTTTGTAAAAAACAAATAAAATACTTTACATCTCAATCTGTTGTCCTGTTTGGTAACTTTTGTCAGAGCTGTAGCGTTAAACACACATAGTTTTCTTTTAGTTACAATTCTGTTTGTATATTATTGTACATGAATTGGATTAGGACAACAACATCCAATCAGAAATTATCAATAAGTACTGCCCTTTTACTTCAAGATTAGAAATGATGAATTATCGAATACTGTACATAGTATAAAGTGATATAATTCATCTGCAACAAAGACACTGTTTAAGCAACAACCTGCATATTTGTAAAACTTTGTTAATTGGACAGATTTCAGAATGTGGTGCCACCCCCTTTTGGGAGGAATAAAAGTGTATTTCTTATACAATGTTAGACTCTAAAACCGATTAAATAGAGCCTTTTAAATCCCTCAACTGTCGTAGCTTCAGTGGCTTTGCCTTCTGGACCACCACTGAGCACGCTCCCACCTTCATAAGGAACATCGATATCCTTGATGTAAATAAAAAAATCTCATGTTCTTGATTGTTTAGCAGATTTCTTTACTACTACCTTTACAGTTTTCCAACAATTATTTCTATGATTTAAAATTTCTGTCCTACTGTACACTATTCCTGATTATTTATAAATTTTTCCTGCATCATGCTCCAAACGGGCCACACCACCAACAGATCATTTAATTCTAGTATCAGTATAAGACTGGTGTACAAGTCAAGTTTCATTTTAAACATCAACATATCAGCACTTAACATTTAACCTATCTGAAATAAAACTTTAAAACTTGGAACCCCTCTGTTATTATCCAGAGTCTGAATTAGAAAATAGCATCATTATAAAATATAACAAGAACATAGGTTTTTTTCTATTGCAATATCCTCAAGCCATTGGATTAATATCTGTTAATGATATTGTAATAATATAAATATATTTAGCACATGGCACATTACGTATTGTCCCTTGTACTGTTACTATTATTATTAGTTGCACTCAAGCACCTAGAAATTGATACACTACAGTATGCAGTACTGTATATAAACACAAATTAGAATTTATAGCCTTGTTATTGGTTCTACAAATAACCATTTGGGTGGTGTGGGATACATCATGAACTTCAGTGGATGGAGATGATTGTTAAGGTCACAGTGGACAAATCCCACACTCATCACCTGATTGTGGAGCCTTGATGGTGATAGGCTAAGATGCAAACGCACACAAAACTTAGGTGGATGTTGATTGGCTAAATACCAGCTTGGGTGTAACAGGTCACTTGTTCACTCAAGCAAGTGCTATGTGGTGGCTGGTGATGTCAACATTCTCGAATGAGGCCTGTTTGAACAAAATGTCGCTGATGACACACACAGCTTAACACTTTTGTCATATGATTGAAAATTTGCTGGTATTAGATGAGGTTTGTCTAATCTAACGTGACAGTGACAAATTGTTTTGCAAACTCTACTAGTGTCCTCATTGGCCTTCCTGTAAAAAATCAAATCAAAATATGTCACAAACTAATGAGCATATTATTAATACACAATCGAAGCTACAAGAGGTCCGACTCTCTAAGATTCATTGGAATGTAATCCTATTTCAAGAAGTACTACCACAAAGTAGAGGGCGTCCTTCAAAAGGCTGAATTGTAATAAAGTGCCCCCTATCTCATGGTAAGGTAGTACTGTACTTTTTTTAATGTATCATTATGTGCATACAAAATCAGAGCAGTCGGACCTCTTGCAATTCTTTACTCTTTGATACATCCTCACATACCTGTACTTAAAAATAAAGGCATACTACTTGGCTAATTAACTGATGCATTTTGATATTAATATTTAATTTTTTGTTTTTTAATACTATTTCATAAATTAAAACATAAGCTATTTATAATATAAGCTTACCAGACATTCCTTTACTTATGTACGGTACTCCATCCTGCGTGTTAGTATGCATAACACCTGCAATGTCCAAGTGAGCCCAATGCGGCACGGTAACAAATTCCTGAAGAAAGGCAGCTGCCGTACATGCTCCCGCCGACCTAATTAGGTAAAAAGACCGATTAGAATATAGTGACTATTTTTAGCTACAGAAAGCACACAGGGCGCTAATTTAAATATAGGGCTTTGGGAACATTTGTGTCAAAAAAGTTTTTATCCATCTAAATTTAATAATATGCACTATGATCATGCATTTAAACAGCTATCTGCATTTGAAATATAGTATTTGGACGCAGTCATGAAAAAACTACTGTGTGGTTATATCTAAGTGCGAACAGCTGTACAATTTAGCCAAGGTAAACTTGGCCAAATGCTTTCTAATGGGAACATGGATTAAGACTAACCTTGAACTGGTTCCAATGTTATTTAGGTCTGCTAGTTGACTATCAGATATTTGTTTAGTATAGTGCTGCAACAGAGGCATTCTCCACACCCTGTCACCTGTCATGCCACCTGCCTATAACAATGAAGCAGATAACAAATTCAAACTTAATTTCAGGCGCAAGAATTTAACCACTTTTAGTGGAAATCCATTCACAAGAGAAACCTACACTTAAGACCCTCAGCGCTCCTGACTTATGCTCCTGACAGTGACATTGACTCCCCCCACCCCACCTGTCTGGTAAATGCTCGTGGCAACTTGACCCTAAAATTTTGAAGCAGAAGCAGCACCAGGACTTGCCTAGGGGGAGGGTTGGTGCTGATGTCGTGCGTTGCTCAAAATTTATAGAAAGTCGCTATGACTATTTAGTTTCAAGCCCTTATTTAATCAATTTCAATGTCTATTAATATGTAGAAAATACAGAAAATATTTTTTCTTCCCCTGTACAGCTGCCACTGATTTGAAGCCAAGCAGAATCTTAACCACCACGCTATAGCTCCACTCCATGGTCAAAATGCAAACTTAATAAAAACAAGATGGGCTTATAACAGAGGCACTATGGTATTACAGAAGGGTGTTCACACAGCATTGGTTGAATAAGCCTGACTGAGCTTGAAAGTATTAGACATTTTAAACTTGCACACTGTTTCCCTGAACCACTATTACCAAGTAGTTGTACACATTCCCAAACACACAACTTACAATCTTAAATTCTAGATTATAATATTTTGAATAATGGCATGATGTAATACAGTTAGAACTTACTTGATGAAATATATCCCATAATTTAGTAGAGTTAGTGAAAAGTCCAGTGACTCCTGACCCCAAGGCTATATCAATGGCACCTGTAATGAAACAACAATGACCATCAAATGAGCCTACAAATGCCAGAAAAGGAAACCAAATAATACGCATAATTATCATTGTTGAAGTTGCAATTTTTGTTCTTCCATAATTCATAAATAATTTATAGAAATATTTCATAACTTTAGAGAAGATTGGTTCAGAGATTTCCATTCAGGTTCTGAACCTCACAGAAATTTGAACCACACGCTGACCGTTCTTGGCCTGCTGTACTTAGATACCCCAGGCTGCAAGGTTGACGGGCTGTGATGCAGACCATGCTATGTTGCAGCCTTACATGTGAGTATTACATGGCTTTTAACTATAATAAACATTGCGGTGGCTTCTCATTATTAATTACGGTAACATCATTCCTATATAACTGACAATTATATAGCTTCCATATATTTTGCAATTAATTATCTTATACATAATTTTAAGGTAAAATAAACGGTATATTTGAATGTATTTATCTTGTCCAGATATAAATTAATGTTATATTGCCCCAAGAACAATAAACAAAATGTTTAACGCAGGACAACAATTGCATCCCATTCCAACTCAATTAAGTTCTGGTTGGTGAATGTCCCATAAATTGATTGGCTAAAAATTTTACTGTTGACATTAGTAATTGACAAATCAATATTTGCAGAGCACCAATATGACAAGAATCAAAATCAAAATTAAATTCTCTGGGCATGTCAGAGCTTACAAAGTTGTTTTTAAGTCCAGGCTAAATATAGCAACAGATTGTGAACTAGTGATGAGATTTAAAACAGAGGCAGTGAGGAAAAAAAATGATTTGTGGTCATAAAGTTGTAAGTATTGCAAATTAATTCATATCATAAAAAAAAAACTTCCTCCATCATATATTTCAAAAACAGATAATAAATAACTTATAAAAGTTAATTTTGAACCAACCTGTTAATGTGGCTACGTCAACAATAGCAGCTGGATTATGGTGTTGACAAGCAAAGCAGAGAGCATCAGCCAATAGCAGACGTCCCTCTGCATCTGTGTTGTCAATCTGAAAAAAAAAAAAAAAATCACATTTTTGTTATACAGACTTTCGTAAGGTGAGACTTTTTTTATACCTTTTCTAGCGAACCCACTGTCCGCCAATAATGATGATTTCAAATAAAAATAAAATGCTATTTTTGGCCAAATAGATACCACCCGCTGCCACAAAAAAAACCAAAATTAAAATAAAAAAAAAAACATAAAAGTTTTTCTTTATTTTTATTACAACGTCCATCGCTGCCTTGATATATTTCTTTGTAATTACATGTATATAAATTTAAAGCATTTACAATCCCTTTACTATACTGTCTACATTTAACAATAAAATTTATTTATTTTCTCCTCCATCTGGATGTTTTTGTCAAAACTATTTGCTAAATAAGAAAAAAAAATTTATTTATTATTTTTTTTTTGCCCTCCTCTGATGATCTTAAAAAAATATAAGTTCGCAATACAAAGTATAAGTCTTTGCCTAGTTGTGCATATAAGCTGTGAATCAGCAAGAAACACTTGACTAATACCAGACTCACATTAGACATTACTTTACAAGGGAAGTTTAATAAAGGTTACACACAGATATTCCTACAGAATTTAGCACTGTCTTCACACAAGAAAAGAAAAACTTTGCTAAAAGCCTGAGCTGGTAAAATAGATAATACTGATGTTTTGTACCTGTATAGTCTTGCCGTTCATCGCAGTGACAACGTCCCCAGGCCTGGTGGCCATACCATTTACCATGTTCTCACAAAGCGGTACCAGACCGGTCACATTTATGGGAAGTTTAAGTGATGCAATGGCAGAGATGGCTGCTACAACATTTGCTGCTCCTCCCATGTCCCCTCGCATTACGTCCATCTTAGCTGATGGTTTGATAGAGATACCGCCACTGAAGTCAGAAAATATAGTTTGAAAGGCTGCAGTATCAACAGAACATGCACAGTGGAGGATATTCACTATTGCTTGTGTTTTCTTCCACGCCTTTTTAGGTGGATTTTTTCCAAATGTTTTACTTTATTAATTCAGGCAAACTAAAGACATATATTTTAAAGGTTTATTAGTTAATTTACCCTTTCAGAGTCTAGGTTTTAGTTCTTAATGTAGATTTCATGGTCACTATGACAACTTCATTCATTACAAAGAAAACTGTCTGGTTTTAAAACGTACATTATAATTCATATTACATGTTATAATTAATATATTTATCCTATGGAAAAAATTTATTATAAACTATTTACCTGTCAAAGGTCACTCCCTTTCCAACGAGGACCAAAGGCTTTGATGAGCGTTCCCCTCCTTTGTACACAAGTTCCATGAACACAGGTGGCTGAGATGAGCCTTTAGTAACACTGAAAAATGCTCCCATCTTCATTTTTTCAATCCAGGCTTGGTGACTATAAGGGGGAAATTGCATTACTTTAAGATGTACTGCCTCTTATGAGCTAAAAAATAATTTAATTCCATATTTGAATTGCATAATCATCTACATTAATATATAATTTATTAACTTGAATGTGGAAAAAATTCTCACTCACTGGACAATAATCTCCAGTTCATCAATCCATGGCAGTTTTTCTTCTGTGATTTTGGCAAATGACGTTGGATACAACAAATTTGCAGGCATTTCCATCAACTTCCTTGCAAAGTTTTGACAGTCAGCAAGAATTACTCCTTTCTTCCATGCTTCTTTTTGTTCACTGTGATACAAATCAGCATGATTATTTATATACAGTTGAGAAAGGAGAACTTCAAAGTACAGAGAAAAAAAAAAGTAAATAAATTTGAAATATAAGGCTTGCCATCCCAAAAACCAGAGTACCATCACTAAATGTTAAACTGAGTAATTTGCAGAAGAATGTGAAAGTATTGTATACTTTAGTACAGAAAAGCTGCAATACTTTTACTCATAACTTTAGTAATAGTAAGCAGATTCCATTAAATGAACCATTATTTTTTAAGCTTATAATACAGAGAATATGAATATATTAAAAATGTAATTTTATGTTTGGTCACTGATACGGGTTTTGGCATGCCAAGCCCCGTTTGGAGATACATTTATTCTATAACTTTCTAGTCTTCACAAGGTCCCATTGATCTTGTCAGGTGTACAGTTACTATAATTGTTGTCTGATCATTTTTATTAGATAATGTTTCCTTACCTACTCCCATTATGCAGTTCAATATTTACTTCTGGTTGTTTATTCTTAACATCCTTCAGCTCATCATATTCATAAAGACCCAGAGCTGAGCCTTCAGCTGAAGCTGACGAAAACAGAAAAAATGAAAAGTTAGTAGCAGCTAGTTCAGTCGACTAAACTGGCGGTAGCCACTGTGTGTGTGTGTGTATGCATGCGTGCTGAACCGTGGAGAACCATTGGCACCCAGTTCAACTTCATCCGCTGTGAACTTTATGTGGCTGAAAATTCAAATATAAAAAGCGTCTTTCAGATTAGACATTTAAGCCATTGGTCTTGTGTGCAATATGGCTCATTTTGCATGTTAAAGATAGAGTGCACTCTTCTGAAAAGGGTAGGGGACTGTCTCTCGGTGTACTGCCTAACTACTACTGGAAAGACCCTACAGAAAGTCTTCAGACTTTCCAATCCTCCAATTAGTGCAATGGTTATCATTTGACAGGGAATTTTGATATATTTGGGTAGTGCAATCAGGTGGTCCTTTCTTTATGTGACATGTTTTTGAATTTAGCTGTTGTAATGTTATTCTTTAACTGTAATATTTTTTTTTCTTGTGTAAATTGGTGTATTAATTCTTTTGTAATGCAAGCTTTTTTTTTTAACATAACATATATCAGCAGCAAGCAACAAGCCAGAAAGCAAGGAAAGAAACAATATATATAAATAAATGGTAAAAAGTGTCAACTAAATACTTTGTTACATCCTAGTGATGAGCATAAGGTTACCCTAAATATATACTCTGTTGCTGAATCTGAATAATCCTTCAAAATCTCAACTTGAAGCACTGACTTTTAATTCTATCATAAATTCGCCAGAGAGCCTAGATTAATTAAGATTTTATTCATCTATCAACAAAAGAAATGTTTAACATTTTTTTGTACTTCCAAATAAGGAATAAAACAAGAAGTTAAAACAAATAAAAAACAAAGAATATCTACCTTGAGCACAGGAAAATGGCTCTACTTCAACCAGGTTGGCTCCTGCCTTCCTAAGCAGCCTAATTCCAGCGGAAGCTGCAATTCTCACATTTTCCAGACTCTCATCCAAACCCTCGTGCTCATTAAATCCGACTCCTTCCTTCCCAACACCTACTACAGCTACTGAGGAGAACTCCTGAGGGAGAAAAGGTTGTATAGAACCTGACATATAAACATGTTGTTCATAAGTATTTCATAGTAATTATTATTTATTAAAACTTAATCAATTAAAATAATTCATTTAAAAATGAAAATGATAAATACAGTATGTAATTCTTTCTTTGGTAAGATTTCACTGTTATTTCATATTAAAACTAGTGCATACCTCAAGAGAGACGTATATTTGAAAATGATGCATATAGCTAATATATTGAAAAGTTAAATTGAAATGGGACAATGTTATCATTTAAGGTAACACAACGGTCTGGATGTGTTGAGAGTGCAAGAAACATATAAAATTACTATAACCATGGAGGTATTATTGAGAAGGAGATCACTAGGCAACAGATCCCTTTGACGCGACAAACCTATGTGTTCCCCGCTTTTGGATCGCGCGCGGACGTATTACCCTATAATTCACATTTTTTCGTTAGCAACAACTTGGCAACGACATGCATTTATACGCTTCCAGCAGAGCAGTTGTGCAATAAAACGTTTGATTTTAACCCATTAAATATCTTTATAATGAACCCTGATTAGATTTTTTCGGGCTTTTGGTATGTTATTATTTGTATATTTCAGGAACGGATTCCGTAAAATATTTATGTTAAAATTACT